ATCAACTTACAGATGTGGGGAGAAGACAGTACAATCCCTTTCTTTTCTAAAGTTGGATGTAACAAAAATGATCAGGTTTTACCAAGTTCTAAAATTATTTCAGTTAAACATGAAGTGTATAAAAATTCACAGCAGCTTCAGCCATCTTGTTATTTATTGAACAAAGATGATGTCAGAATGGAAAAGCTGTAGCTTCACAAATCAACAACTTGAACCTCCTTCAGCAGCAATAATTTGAAATAGTTTGAAATAGTTTTAATAGTTCTATCTTCGTTCATCAGCTTCCTACATGGTTGTGGAGGAATTTTCGTCCACTTCTTTTTTTTTTACCACATTGCATCTTATCAGTGATATTTGCAGACATTCATTCCTGCTTAGCTCTCTTTAGGTTCAACCACAGTCTTAACTGGTATTAACACAATCCCAGACCACCAGCCCTCCACCATCATGCTTTACTGTTGGTAAGATGTGTATTTGTGTTGACATGCTGTTTTGTTTTCTTCAAAACATGACACTGTGCATTATGGGTACTGTATTTTCCACCGTACACTTCGCACCGCCCTATAAGTCGCATCAGTCCAAATATGTCTAATAAAGTAGAAAAATCCATAAATATGTTGCTTCGCCGTATTAGTCGCATCTATTATGAATCACCGCTGACACATCACGTTTGTTATGCGTCACCACTGACAACCTGGAAATGTGGGCCGGTGTTGTGCCAAAAATCGATTGGCTGCCAAATGGCAGCCGTGGGATCGTGCACGGGAGGACTTTAACAAGAATTTAACAAGATTAATAATAATGTCATCACAATGTCAGCACTGTATGTTTCCATACAATGGCGAAATTAGTCTCTGCATTTAACCCATCCACCACCAGGTGGTGCAGTGGGCAGCTATTGAAAGCGCCCGGGGGGCATTTTGGGGATGAGGTGTGCTGCCCAGAGACGCCACGTGATGTGCAGTGACTGGGGATCGAACCTGGGACTTTTGGGTCCCAAGCCGGCTGCCCTGCCTCTACACCATCTCGGCCCCCAACACTTAAAAACAATTATTTGTTTGCTCGAAATTATAGTAAAGGTGTGACTCAGTCTGACTTTTACTTAATAAATGCACGTTGACGGTCAAATCAGCTGCATTTTCAAAAACCGATATGCGGAAACATGAACGCGCAGAGGCCGACTCACTGTGCATTTCTTCGAACTTTAACATCATAAGCCCCTAAAACAATTATTTGTTTGCTCGACATTATATCAAAGGTGTGTCTCAGTTGAACTTTTATTAATAAATGCACTTCAATGGTCAAATTAGCTGCATTTCTCCGGGGCAGTGCAGTGAAATGAAGCTGATTTGACAGTTGCTCTAAGCGAGTTGGACGAAGGTGGCAGGCTATGGCAAGCCGATTGTGTCATTAATAACTGCTTTTATCTATTACATGATACAACGGCATGCCATACAACATGGGACGACTGTGGCTGAGTGGTTAGAGCAGTCGTCCTCCAATGCGAGAGTTGGGGGTTCGAATCCACCAGCAGTCACATGCCGAAGTGTCACTGGGCAAGACACTGAACCCCTCATAGCCTCTGATGTGTGTCCCATCAGTGTATGAATGTGATCTAAAAGCAGTGATTAGTCTCATTAGAATGATTTGTTCAATTAGCTTTGTAGAGATCTAGTAGAGAGCTGTATGAATGGGTAAATGAGGACACAGATTGTAGTGTAAAGATCTTTGAGTATCTTGAAATAAGATAGAAAGGCGCTATATAAGTACAGTCCATTTACCATTTACTCGAATGCCATCTAGCAGCTGAAAATGGTAATGTTCAAAATTTTCAGTTAAAATGAATGAAAACTGTCATATCTCAGCCAAAAATTTGTTTATAAATATGGGAAAAATCCATAAATACATCGCCTTTGTTGATGTTGTTCCAGATGTCTTGAGGTTCTTTCTGATGAGCTGAACGAACCTCTGTTGTGCTGCCATGTTCGTTTTACAGTGAAGCCGTTTACTCCTGGCAAACCTTCCAAACAAGCCGTACTTGTTTATTCTTTTTCTAATTATCCTGTCATGATCATTTATTAACACAATGGAATCCATTGTGTGTTTTTGCACACCTGAGGCTAAATTTAAATAATTTTAGAACCTGATAAAGACCAGATCATTTTTTGACAGGTACTGATATAAAACCTTAAAACGTACTGTTTCCCATGAGCACGTTCACAAATTCTCTCTCAGACTCAAAGTCACACCCAGATGAAAGCCTTGCAGGCTCCGTGGGATTTATTATTCCTCCCTTGACATTTTGCTGTGTTGTGATGCCAAAGTTCAACCCCCAGCCTGCTCTTGGAGGATGTGAGGTCTCTCACTGGGCTTTGTAGTTCTCTGTGATTCTGCTCAACACTTTGTTACTCTAGATTTGACCTTTGAGTTAAATGAGTTGTTACAATGAATTCAGTCTTATCTGTCTAGTTGAGGAAAGAGATGCTGAAAAATCCTTCACTAACTCCAAAAAAACCCACTGAGCCCAGTCAAATTTGATAAGAGAGGAGAGAGGAGGGACAGGAAAGTGGAGGACGGTGACATTGTTCTTGAAGAACTAAAAGAATTTGACCTCTCTTGAGAATGTGCTTTTATTAGGGATCATCCACCATCTGACAGAGCACAGATTTGCAGGTGCTGGCACAGGACTGCATACCTAAAGGTTAAAGCGACCGTAAATCACTGTGGTTAGAGTGATGCTGCTCTGCTCTCTGTGGATTGAAGCTTTCAGCCACAGTCTGCTCTCTGCTGTGACAGCAGCTGCTTTCTGTCTCAAAAACACCTGCTTTGACATTCAGGCACTTTTTTCATTGCTTGACTGAACTACGAAGGGTACAAAGGGTAAAACCTGGTCCTGTTCACAGTGGGACTTATACAAACCAGACTCCTGTTTATAAAGGTGAAAGGTGAGAAGGTGAGCTTTTTGCCCAGGTGTCTGTGTGTGGTTGTGTTGGCTTGTCTGTATCTTTAGAAAAATATCTTATGAACCACGGAACAGATTTGACTGAAAGACTCTTTCACAAAACGCCTTAGTCCGACACTGAGACATGTTCCGGCCTCCTTGGTGTGACTTCTGATTGAACCGAGGTGGCGAGGGGAGTCGAAGCCAGCCCAGCCCTGGTGTGCCTCTGTGCCACAGAGCAAGCTAGTAACAAAGGGGGGACCACCAGCATGTAAAAACATAGACTGCAGTTAATCAGCTCAATAATGTGAGGAACTGATGACCAGAGGTGGAAAGAGTACTGAAAATTTGTACTCAAGTACAAGTACTGTTACACTGCTTAAATTGTACTCAATTACAAGGAAAAGTACTGGTGTTATAAAAAATACTTAAGTAAATGTACAAAGTACTCTTTTCAAAAACTACTCAGAGAATTAATTACTTTTTAACCGATTGATGTTTTATTGTGTTGTCAATAGAAGTCATTGATTTTGATTTATTGTATATAATAGCTACATTTAAAGCACATTTCTCAGATGCTCAGAAGCTCCGTCTTATTTTAGTACCAGGCAAACCGATGGCAGTGACAATATCTAAGATCTTTGCATACTTAGCTAAACTAATAACCCCCATATACAAACAATAAAGAAGCAATATCATGCAGGTAGTTGTAAAACCTTGTATACTGCAATATGTTTTTTGAGATTAGATGCTGAAGTCTTGTAAGCTGCTATCACCGTAGAGATCAAACAGAGTTTGCATCCGGACTCTGTCTCCTTTTCATCCTCTGTACATGAAAAATTCCTCCAGGTACGGCCACGGGCACTCGTCCTCAGTCTTTACTTCATCATTTTCTCTTTTGACAGTTTGTCCTCTGTCTCCATTTTGGCTTTTTCTCCAAATCTTCGGTCCATAAATTACTTTCTACTCTGCAGAGTTGTCCTTTACTTATGTCATAGGTAATTGACATGTTTGTGATCTGAGAGCCTTATTGGCTACAAAGATGCAGATGAACAATTTGAATATTAATTCAAATTGCGGCTGTACTTAGTAACAACTTCTGATTTTAAAAGTAGCAAAGTAGATTACATGGTCTAAGTTGTACTTAAGTATGAGTAAAATTACACACTTGAAATAAATACTCATAAAAGTACAAGCACCTAAAAAATCTACTTAATTACAGTAATGTGAGTATTTGTAATTCATTACTTCCACCCCTGCTGATGACAATAGTGTGCAACCACCTGATCGTGGGATAAACCAACAAACAGGTTTATTACGGTGGAGTAATGATGATGATGATGCACAGCAACACTTCAGTTAACCACAAAGAGGATTGCTAACTGGAGTTTATTCATTCTGTTTTGTAAATGACACAATGCTCATGTCCGTCACACAGTTAATGTGTTGCGCTCCACTTCTGCCTAGCTGAGTTCTGCTCCACGCTTCCTTCGGTTCCACTCGGCCTGAAAGCTCACATTTGAGTCAGAAGTGTCCGGCTTCATTTATGAGTGGCCAGAGGGAGCTTAAAGATGGACTGGTCCATGTCGTCATTTCGCAGAACTGTTTTATGAAAGAGCCTAAAAAGTCATCAGTGGGTTGATGTCTACACCCGCTTACATTTTGAGTTAACCCAAGTCAAGATGGCGGTCACAGCAACTTGACCTTAGCCAACATAAAATGGCCATAACGCAGTGAATTTTACAAACATTGAGCTAAAATTCAGTGTGGTTGTAGCTGAGTCATTCACAACACATGCTCCAAGCACAAGCAGATCATGTGAGATACTGAAGATAATGTTATTTCAAAGGTTTCTCTGAAGTGTCTTTAACTCCCCTTTCTTCAAAGCTGATCTTCTAAAAGTCTGGTTTGAAAGTTAGTAGGTGATATCCATTCCATCAAGAAGTACTAGGTTTTAAATAATGTGCAAACTGGTTTTGTTAGCTTACAGCAGAATGCTTCTTTGTTAACTTTAATTTCTCATGAGTTATGTGTGTTTGTGCTTCTATTTGTTCTCCAGGATCCATCCTGTGCAAATGCACTCTGGCCAGCAGTATGTTCTAAAACCCAAATACTACCACGCACACACCACACACACTCAAACGCACGTCCAGGCCCAACCTGAGAGACCCATTCCTCTGACCCTGGGACACAACCCCATCCACGGTGAGTCTAAAAAAATACACTGTTTCATTTGAATTTGATGGTGTGATGGAAATAGAGCCTTAAGAAAACTTTACAGGTTACCTTTACAGAAAAGTACAGTTTTTATTTTGTGAATTTCATGTTTCTTAATGCGTCTACATGCTGTCGCCTAAAAAGTATCACAAATTTATTGTCGATAAATTCTAACAAAATGCAGCTAAAAGTGTTTCATTTCAACATTTAGTGCTCACTGAAGTGCTTAAATATCTTTGTTTATTAATTATAAAACATTCCAGTCTTTTTGTAAAATAATAAAAAAAATAATAATAAAAAAAACATGTTTTGAGTGAGAGCAAAAAGAAATCCCTTCCTAAAGTGATTTACTTTTATACATTTTTTTTTTTTACTTTTGCATGAGTGAGACTGTAAAACAGTTGCAATTTTAAATATTTAACATTGAATTTACAGAAAAATGTTAACGGTTTTGTAAAATGTGGAGGATCCTGTCCAGTTATTCACAGGACACCAACATTATTGTCAATATTAAAACATGTTGAATTCTACAGCTCTAAGATTAAATCCCACTGGAAACGCCTTCTTGTTGTTCATCAGTTTTAAAGACCTTTTCAAAAACTTTTTTGTTGATTCTTAGAAAAATTTGTCAAACTGTCAAGTAACTTTCTTAATTTCAACTTTTTGTAACATGTCTGCAGTACTGATCACTTAAAATGGATCAGAAATTTGAAAATGGACTTTAAATTTAGAGGATGGTGCTTCAATTTTAATAATTTGTCCATCCCCATAGTGAAGCATGGTGGTGGCAGCATCATGCTGTGGTGTGTTGCAGCAAGGACTGTGAGACTGGTCAGGTTTGAGGGAAGCCTGAATGGTGCAAAGAACAAAGATCAATGAAAACCCGTTCCACGGAGTTCAGGATCTTAGTGAAGACAAGACGAGTGACTCAGGGACAAGTCTGAGACATGAAACCCTTCGAACATGTCTGTAGAGACCTGAAAATGGCTCCACCAACTATCCTCATCCAACCTGATTGATCATGAGATGAGTTACAAAGATGAGTAACAGAAAATCTACTGCCGTAATGTCCGGACTATAAGCCGCTACTTTTTCACAGGCTTTGAACACCGCAATTTAAACAATGCTGCGACTAATTTATGGATTTTTTTTTTTTTGGGATGGTCTTTCATGCGACCAAAACATTTAGCCTCATCACACCCGAGCGCTCACATAGTTGCCCAGTGCACATCCCTCTTGGGGGGTGGGTCCTTGTGACGCAGTGAGACTAGCTGTATAAATAAAGCTAAAAAAAATCTGACCAATGAAATTACTGAACAGGTCACAGTGGATCAATGAAACCAAGTTTCATTGATCCAATGTGGGTGGGTGGGTGGGGGGGGGGAACTTTGTTCCCCTCTCTCCACTCTCTCCCCTACCCCTCCCTGCAGGATTTTCCCCGCGGGAGTTTCCCCCTCGTTGTACACAACAAAGTATTTGCAGCCACTCAAAATACGTTTGAATCGTAAATCAAATCGCAAATTTGCCTCGAGACAAAAGTGACGCTGAGAGCAACAAGGAAAGAGAGGCTGGGACGTGATGACGTTTTTCTGAGGCCGTTCAATTCTGACACTGAAGAACTTGACTTTAGTGGTTTTAGTGCACAGGAGGAATGAAGATGGGAGGGTGGTGGTGCAGAGGTGAGAGAATGTGGGCATGTGATCAGAAGATCACTAGTTCAACTCCCGGTACCAACAACATCAAAAATTTGGGTGGGAAAGGTGAAGCACCCACACCTGCCTCCACCTTCATTTGCCTCACTCTGGGCTCTTGAGCAAAGCCCTTAACCCCCACCATCTGCTCCCCCAGGCACCCTAGACAGCAGCTCTCTGCTCCACACAGAGGGCTGTGGTAGCTCGGTGGTCTGTGGTTGTGTCAGGAAGGGCGACCGTGGTAAAAATAAAAAAAAAGTGCACAGGAGGAATGAAGATAGCGATTAGTGACTTTTCCTGGTAGACTACTGTATTCATTTTATTTTTTTGACCAGCCGTGTTCCAAACACTGTTCAGAAAAAAAATGACTGTACTTATTTGTGTATTTTACTGGTATGTATTTGCTTAAAAGTTAAAAAAATCTTTCTGTGTAAATATTTCATGTTACAACATGTACACCTGCGGCTTTTACACAAGTGCAGCTTAAATATGTGCAGTTTTTTTTATTTAGTGGGAGTGAGTTATATTCAGGTGCGCTCAATAGTCTGGAAATTACAGTAATCCAGATAAGCAAAGTTTTTTCAAACTCCAAAAACCTGAGAGCTGTAACTGCTGCCAAAGGTTTTTTTTAACTCAGTTAAGTCTGATTACTTACAAATACTACAAAACTTCATATTTCAAAAACTTGTCCTATATAATGAGAAAAAAAGACTAAACAATTATATCATCAGATTAAAACAACAAACTTGAAAAAGTAAATGGAGACTGGTTACTTCCTGAAACCCGTATAAACTTATTGTCTTTTCACACGATCAAATATTTTTACATTAGTTTTAATAATCAATGCTACATTATTATAGTTTGCCTGCATTATTATGTCTTAATATCTGAAAAAAAAATTATCAAAAATTCTAATTTGGCTCTGTGATTTCTGTTGAATTAAACTTTGTTGGTGAGAAAGTGAAGGATTCTTGCAGGTAGCACTTTTAAACTCATGGTAAAACTTTTTGTTAATTCATTCACACCAATCAGACAGAAAACATAAAAGCCATCCCATCTGCCCCAACACCCTGAAGACATGGAGGGAATGTGGAGTTTTCAGCAAGGCAGTGAAAGGATTTGTCCAAATTACACTTCCAGTTGTAACGACATAAAGACTTAAGCATTGCCTGCTGCTTGGAACTGTCCAAAATGAATTATTAGTCTCATTTTCTGGGGGCAATTTCAGACAAAGTCATGCAGTGTGAGGTTTAAGGGAGAAAGAACAAAATAAATATGTTATTTGAGGAGAACCTCAGAGTTTACTGAAACAAGTACATGAACAGAAGTGGAAATGAACTGTGTCTGAATGGCTGTCATTTGCTCCAAATGTAAGTCTTTCTTCCATACACCTTCGTCTTAAGAGTGGACCCCCCCCCACACACACACACGCTCAGTCACTCCAGTATGGTTTTAAATGGCTGCTGACGTATATGAACACAAAACAGAGCCCCTTTCAGAGAACCAGAAGCTGACACTTCCTGCTGATTTTCTTTAGGAACATCTAAAACAACCAAACATGTTGAAACCTAACCACATTCATATTTTCAGGAGATGTTTTTGTATTAGTCTGGAGCAAGCCAAACCATTTCAGGAAAAATAAAAGTTAGTTTTTTTTGTTTTGCGGTCAATGTCCGACATGTGACGAATAAACAGCAGCTGCATTACAGCAGATCACCAGTTTGGTTACTGTGGCCTGTCAAAGAATCAAGGCTGAGCGCCAACATCAAACTCACCAGTATGCAGAGATGAATGGGCCAATATTTTTCTAAATGGTTGGGCTGCTCACCACAGCCATTCGGACAGGCCCGAGTATGTTATATATAAATATTTGGTGGTCGGCAGACAGAGCAATGTTGATGTTTTGCTTTGCTTGATTCAAGCTAACCTCACTTTAACTTCAGCTAGTAGTTGGTAAAAGCCGGAGAACTACCAGACATCAAAGTAAAAGAGAAAAAACTGACACAGACATGTATAGATGGGATATAAAGCACTAAAATTGTGTGTGTGTGTATACATATAT